ATTAGTTTATGAGCTTTTGCACATCGTGTTTATATCCAATGAAAAATTTTATTGCAAAACGAATGCGAATGATACCAAAAAAAGAATGCTCTCCACGGTTTGAGCCTCCCAATTTCTACATGCGAGCTTTTAGCGAAATAGGTGGAAAAAGTTGGGCTCCAGACAGTACTTAGTTGAGCCAAATATAAATCCTTTTTTGATTCTATAGGCTAAATTCCAGAGGAAACCAAGACTTTAACCAAAGTTGGGAAATTTGGACCCACAGATGGGCTAGAATCTTGCAGTGCACGTGCTGGAGGTCTTGAGGATCAGATCTCAGTTCACAAGAACGGTACCTCTTCCTGGCAAATTAGCGGCAGTTGTCCTTCTATAGGCACGTCTGGCATTATGCCGTAATCCTTGAAAGCGACCTAACTATAGACAAGGAACCTAGCCAGTGGAAAGCGCGAAGAGGCAATTCACACCTTCACGACGGAGAAACGAACGTCTAATTGTTTGTGTGATCTCAACGTTCATGTTGGCTGCGAGCCAGTGTCGACTCTGTGGAAGGACTTTCTTTTTTGCGACGAACACACGGGGGCAGGGGAGGGAAAGGACAAAAAGGACCTTTTGCTCTTGGTGCACATAAGCGACCTTGTCCTGGCACAGGGTGGAACCGCTGATGGATGAAGTCTTACAACTAAGTTTTTATGAAATTTCGACTATAAGCAGAAGCAGGACCTCCTTCCTGCCTCCAAAGTCTTCAGAATGTGACGCTACTTGCCAACCCCATGAGCACAAGGAGGCCTACCGTACTTGCTACGGCCTGGAGCTAGATTTCTTCGAGCTGTAACTGATGAATCGCTCTCTAATAAAAGTAGCTTTGACTATGCAAATCTACCACCTAGTCAACGTCGTGTTGGTCTACGATCTGTGCAGGAAATCTTGAGCTCGAAACTAGCGCCACGTCCCGTGGCAAAGCACTTCTATTGTACGAAGCTAACGACATTATTCAGTTATTATATTTAGTTGAGATCGAATGTGCTTTTTGGTTGGAATATTAAGGTGGAGTTAAGCAACGTTTTTCAGTAATTCAGTTTTGAATGTGGAATGGGGAAGCCTCTTCTTGCTCTCCCTCCTCCCGCCTGTACACCATTACGGCGGAATGGTGCGTGCGTACATATGTGAATATCAGTGAGTCTCATTGGAATCTTTCAAGCTGGGAACGGCTCATGCGAACAAGCGTCAGAGTAGTGTGTACGTGAGCTCATATATCTCGGGTAATCCCAATGAATGCGGCTGTTGTCTTCTATTTACCGAAAAACGCCCATTAACACTTTAAGATCGTCGGGCTGACATTTGACGGAAGGGAATTTACCACGATTGCAACACCTCGACCGGCTATTAGTTTTGGTTTTTCTTCCTTTTCGGTTCTTTTCTGAAATTATGGGATAACACCATCATAAATTTCTATGAACTGTGGTTCTTTCGCAAGCCTTAGATTTTTCAGGTGCTGCTCATAAGTCCAATAGGGATTCTTTGCCTCTAGGACGCAAATGGCGCAGTGGCGAGACGCTCTAATGCACTCAA